GCTATGGTTCCTAAATATTGAACCAACTATTCAATTCGGTTCAATATGATTTTTATGTGTTTTATTTTTTGGTTTAGTGTTTTTCATTTTGTTGAAAAAATTGAATCCAATCAATTACTTAGTTCAACTCAGGAGCTTATATACCGATATATTTTCTTTTCAAGTTCTGATGTGGGATACTCTCTTAACAGATTAACTACATAAAAGAGTAAAAGACTATATAATGATATAAATCGTGGAGTATGAAACTTACACGATAATATATACTCTATTCGTTTCACAAAAGAATTTGTTTTTAATTTTTCACTCTTCCCATAAAGTATTTTTATTTTGCATTAAAAAGTACAAAGTACTACTATATTTTATCCCTACTAATTGTTACTCAATTTATCACATCATATCTATTTACTACTCTCTTTGTCCAGATTTAATCTTCTCTTTTTAATTTATCCTCGTTTTAAGTAATGTTGATTAATGTTGACTATGAGGTAGATTTATCCAAAATACCCTAGCTTAAAAATTGAATAGTGGGAGTATTAATTCAGTCATCACATCCTACTTTTAGATATTTATCCCAAGAAAAAAGTGGAAAATTAACTATAAAATATACACTTCGTAAATTTTTCAAAATAAATAAACATTAATTTTTTGTAAAACGGAGACTATATAAAATGAATAATGAGTAACATTTTTAATAATCTTTTTTACTCCCTTCCTTTGAAAAAATACTACCTAATTTGACCAAAGGCCAAAATAAGGAATGGTTAAATTGTAGTTGACTTTCCAACTTTGTTCTTAACGTGATGGGTAAAGTAAAATGTGATGGATAGATTATTCGTAAAAAAAGATGACAGTCCATCCTCGAGGAATCCTCAGTACCGACCGGATAGTTAGATGAGAGAGGGTAAATTAAGCTATTATCTTAGTAAGTTGACATAATGGTGGTGTTCTGCGCTAGACAGTTAGCTAAGAGGAGGTAAATTAAGTTATAAATCAGGCTTCGAACTCGAGACCTTTCCTTTGTAGCACTCTTTCGCAACCGCTGGGCTACGCTTCATTGACGATGAATTGATTATTAGTGAAAGAGTATTATGTGTTTGGTAGAATAAAAAAAGTAGGGGTAGAAGTAATTTTTTTATAGAAAATGAAAGAATTTTGATAGAAGAGAACAAAATGAAAGAGGAAATACTTTGGTAAAGGGGAAGTATTCCCTCTGTTCTAAAACTATATATCTTCCCAATTACTATTATCACGGTTAAACTTAAATTACTATTTTTATTAGTTATTTGATAAAATAATATAGTCTTATTACTTCTTGTTTTGTAGAATTTTTTATGTAGTTTTTTAAATATATAAATTTTATTTTATAATTTTAAACATAAAATCAAATAAATTGAATTAAAAATCAAGTCAGTCAAACCTCGTAAACATAAACGGGAAAATAATTTTAGAACGGTGGGAGTAATACTTTACTTGTTTTTAGAGATATTCAACACAAAACCGGTACAAAGAAAAAAAATGTAGAAAACGAATAATAAAAAAACAAAAAAAAAGGTACAAGTAGGACCCACAAAATATAATGGGCATGGGAGTGCTAAAATCGTCGTGGAATAGCTACCCTCCATCCAATACTTAATAAAGTGACCATAAATGAGCAAGACAAATTCATGAGTCATGCCATTGTTATATGACAAATGTGATGCTGCAAAGGACCTAATTCACATATGGAGGGAGGGGCCACACAATGCCCAAATGGGGCTTGTCCTATCAACACAATCTCCAAAGTAGGATTCTTTTGTCATGCACCCCCAACACCTTCCCTTGGTGGACCGATTCATTCCCCCATATCTATGATGATGAAATAAACCACTTTGCAAAATTGATATAACCTTAACTATCCCTAATGAAAGGTCACGTCATTAACCTTATTTTTTCGGCTTATTATTTATTTTTACTAAAATCAAATCAGATCGTAACAAATGAGATCACGACATATCCAATCAAATCAGATTATATCTAATCAAATCAAATCAGATCAGACCAGATCTAAACAAAATTAATACGGAGTATTTTTATTATTATTATTATTACTATTATTATTATTACCATTATTATTATTTTTACTATTAATATTCTGATTATAATTATTATTACTATTGTTATTATTATTATTACTATTATTAGTATTACTATTAATATTAATAATAATATTATTGTTATTATTATTATTACTATTATTATTATTATTACTAATACTATTACTATTACTCCCTCCGTCCGGAAATGTTCTTACACTGTTGACTTGGCACGCTTATTAAGGAATAGTAAAAAATGCAAAATTTTCAAAAATGCACATACTATAAACTTTTAAATCTCCTTTTATTATTAAAAAAGTACTAAAAAAGTAGAATTGTGATAAAATAGAAGGGTATTATTGATATTTAGCCTTAAAAAGTATACTAAAAAAGGAAATGGGAAGAATATTTTCCGGACGGACCAAAAAGGAAAATGGGATAAATATTTCCGGACGGAGGGAGTACTATTATTATTTCTATTACTATTATTACTATTACTATTACAATTATTATTATTATTACTATTAGTATTATTATTATTTCTATTACTATTATTATTATGACTATAATTATTATTAATATTGTTATTATAATTATTACTATTAATTTTATTATTACTACTAATATTATTATTACTATTATTATGATTATTATTATTATTATTACAATTATTATCAATTCTATTATTATTTCTTTTATTATCAAAATTTCCATTATTATTATTATTATCATTATTACTATTATTATTAGTATTATAGTTATTATTATTATTACTATTCTTATGACTATTATTATTACTACTATTAGTATTATTATTACGGAGTATTATTTTATTATTACTATTATTATTAATATTTCTATTATTATTAAAATAAAAAATTAATTTTAATTTTAATTTTAATCAAATTCATTTCAGATCCAATCGGATGAGATGAGATCAGATCCAATCAGATCATATCCAATCAGATCAAAACTTTTAAAAATCAGATCATGCGAACGAAACACATCCTAATTCATTGTGTCTTCAGGTGAAACGCCCACCTTGGACGTCCCCACACTCCGACCCGACAAGATTGTGAGGGAGGTAAATTATGGTTTAATCTCAATCCTGTGCTTATAATGAATTGTGTTTTCAGAAATTGACAAGATATGTATACATAGACATTACACCATAATATTGTTAAAAACAGAAAATAATTATGTTATCACTTTCATTTTTCATTTGTTTCAAAAGTATTGACCCATTTGCCAACAACGATTCATGATTAACGTACGTTAGCAATTTTGTTTGAATTTTAACGGTGTAAATTAATATTTTAAAACTTTAACATTATTTTAAATTGCTCTTAGGAATCTAACGTGAAATAATGTCAATGGGATTTTTATGTACTCTTTGCGTTCCAAAATAAGGCTCTCGTTCGCATTACAATTTTGAAAGAAATTATTTTCAAATCAGTATAAGTTAAAATTGGTGTTTCATGAATAAAAATTATACTACATTATAAAATTAATTTAACGGTTCTACAAAACAAGTATCGATAAAATTATTTTATTTTATCAAATGATTAATGAAAATGTATGCAGAAAGAACTATGTGGTTCCTCATCAAATATCGTTTTCTTATTTCACGCGATATGTCAAACTGTATCTTAATTTCGAGAAGGGTATGCATATAGATAAATAATATTCTGGGGTAATTTTTTATTTTAATAAAAAGAGAACACAAAAATTAAAGGGTAGATGATGGAAGAAATCTTCACATTCAATGCTTTTCGCCATTCATTTTCAACAATCAATAAAAACATAAAGAACCCGTGAATTCTTCAATCTTTTTGGGTGTCACTCATACATGCCCAAAATAGTAATGGTATATAATAATGTGGGGAAACACACACATGTAAACATAATTACTCCAACCCCCGTTATGAAATTAATTACTCCATGAAAACCAATCAAGGAATTGACCAAAGCCAATTCCCTTTCCCCATTATCAAACAAAATATCAACTGTCGTTGATTTGCCTAATTATCAAAGATATAAATAAGGACATGATTTAAATTGTACAACTAATTGTGATTTTAATATAATAAATTGCTGTCACAGACCAGGACACTGTGGGTACCACCACACCGTCACATCTTCTACTCCGTATTTCTTTGGGTAATTTATTTATTTGGTGAAAACATATTATGTGGAGTAATTTTCAAAATAATTTTTTTCACCAATTTCTTTTAAGCATAATTCTAAGTTGGATTGGTGATGAAGTTATTCAAATAATTACGGAGTATAAAACTCTATTTACTTATACCTACTTCGTTTTAAATAGCAAGTTACATTTCATTTTTTGCTTATTCTGTAAAACACTTTCATAATATAATCTCAAATGCCAAAAAACATTTAAAGACTCTTACCCACAATAAAGGATAAAATATGATAAATTTTAGTATATTTACAAATTAGTATATAAATAATAATGTAACTTACATTTTAAAAAGTACATCAAAAATTCTATAAATAAATACTATTAGAATTTATTTATTTTATCAACTAGTAAATAAAACAAAAAACAAATAAATTAAAATTATCAGGTGACCAGAATATTAACTCTGTAATATATATATATATATATATATATATATATATATATATATATATATATATATATATATACCTTCACTTTAATAAGGTAATAATTCCGGAACAGTTATCATTACAAAACAACACTCTAGATATAATAAAAAAAAGGGTAGGATCGGAGACTCGGAGAGATGAATTGTTGGGATTTGGGAAAAGCGAATAATAAAAAGATGTTATTAAAAAAAGAATAAATAATTGATATCCAAGATAATGTACAAGAAAATGGTCTACACCATGCTTGAACTATTAAACAAAAAAATAATCATAACAAGAAAGAAAAAAAAAGCCTATAAGCATGTTCCCCTGTTGTTGTTTTTAAAAAATATTCTACTCCTATGGATGGGGTAATAAAAAATTCAAGAAGACATGTTTATATGTACTGTGGCATTCATGCTGGAAGAACAAACAGGACACCTAGAAACAAGGGTGGACCCACACATCGTGCAAAGGCACAGATGCCTACATGGGAGCAGCAGCACACTAGATTCCTTCACCCCGCATCTCCGGCACATCCTCACGCCACCGCCTTGCCCCACCACCACCTCCGCCGTCGCCGCCGGAACCGGCCCCGAATTGCTGCTGTCGCAGCAAGACCCGGCGTCTTCCTCCGCTGCCGCCGCGGTGACGGTTCCGTCGGAGACGTGCTCCTCCGTGGCGACATGCGCCAGGACTTGCTCCAGGTCGTTGCGGAGGGAGTTGGCAGTGGCCTCGTTGGTCAGTGCCAAGTCCCTCCACAACTGGTTCTCCATGTAGAGGGTTTTGACCCGCTCCTGGAGGGCGAAATTGAGCTTCCCCAGCATCTGAATCTGCCCGTCTTTCTCCCTCACCAGCTTCCTGACGCCTTCTCCGATCGCCGCCACCAGCAATCTCGTCTCCCGCCTCTGCCTCTCTTGCAATTCCATTCTCAGCTTCTTCGTCTGTAAATAAAACAGCGGATTAATATTAAATCGCTACAAGAATGTTAGTTCATTCAAAACATAGGTTTGCTTTCGAGAAAATGCTTACATGATTAAACACAATCCGGTCAATCTCAGACTGGTAGAGTTCGCCGGAGGGGATAACGAACTCGTCGTCTCTGACCCGCTTTCTAGATACCTCCGGCAAGAGATAAGAAGAAAAAGTATGATTCACAGGTGGCCTAACAGCCTCGGGCAGCATTGGATCGGAAGGGAAAGGGATCTGCCCGAAACTGAATTGGGGAGGAGCTCCAACGGCCATGTGAAGAGAGAGAGAGAGAGAAGAGAGAGGAGAGAGAAAGTGGTTTGGTTATGAGAGAGAGAGAAAAGTGGGAGACACGGGGGAGGGGAGGGGTTTTGGCGTATTTAAAGGCGATGGGGTTTTTGGATAGGAGTTTGAAAGTCAAAGATTTGTAGAGACACGAGGTACCAAACAACTTAGGAAATTTAATTAAAATAGGCCGATTTGGGCTATTAATTACGGCCCTTTTTTTTAAATTAATTACCGGAGTATCATTTACTCTATTCCCCTAATTTCCGTGTCGTGTCAATTTGATTACTCCTACTTCCTAAAATATTAAATGTGGCGCAAATCCATCAAAATTTGCAATATTAACATATTCATTATAATAAAATTTGCACTAAATAGGACTAAAACATAATAACTTTCTCAATGTAGGACTTAAACTTTTTTATTCCCTAAATAAGACTTAATAATGACCTAGTGGGAGGAATAATGTCCTCTAATGATGGACATTTACTTGAATAATGACTACTTGATAATGACCAAAAGTCCTACATTGGGAAATAAGAATATATGATCCTATATTGGGAAAGTCATTATGTTTTAGTCCTATTTAGGTAAATTTCTCTTCATTATATTCCCTGATCAAACAAAACATTCATTCCATTTCAGTATAAACTTCTTAATTTCTTTTTCTATTCCTTTCAAAAAAACTTTTTATTTATGAACTATTTGTTGTCTAAAACTTCCTCCGTCCCACAAATTTTTTCACTTTTCTTTTTTCATCGATTCCAAAAAAAAATTCTCATTTCTATTAAAAAGTCATTTTTAGCCCTATTAACTCTAAATTTATCTATCGCATGACACTTTTTTTTACTTTTCATCTACCCATCACATCTATTTTTACCAATCACATCCAAAAATATTTTTGAAAAGTCAACAGCAAAAGACACTCACTTTAAATTTTTTAAAAGACAAAATCAGAAAGATTTTATGGGACGAAGGGAGAAAGTCGAAAGGAGAGACAAACATGTAAAAAAATTATATATATTATATTTAATTTATGGTTATAGAGTGTCACCGTTTGACAAAAAAATCAAAACACAATTGTTTTTTGAGCGAGAAGAAATGTTCTTCGAGTTTCTTTTGCACCCTCTGGTTCAAAAAACATTTCCTTTTTTGGCTAACTCCTTCCAATTTTTTCCAAAAGAAGTCCTATTTCGGGGGGAAAAAATATGGAATTTCTATTTTGGTATATTTTCAATGTTTTACTCCTATTTTAGTCTATTTTCTCTTTTTCGGACTTCTTACAACAATGACTTAAAAAATATTTAGGTTTATTTTCATATTTATCATCATCATCATCATCTCAATAAAATAAAAAATTGATTTAATGTATCAATTTATTCAAAAGTTGTGTGTTAGATATAAATTTTAGTTATGGTTAGTTGCATTAATTATTAAAATATTAAATTAATTAATTTATAATTTCCTTTGTGATTTTGAATTTTAGTTAACTATGTTTTTTTGAAACATGTTCTTGTCAACGTTTTAAAATTTTGACCAAAATAATTGTATACTTTATTTTTTAAGTAAACATTACATTACTTTTAAATATGCATACACTAATAATTTTTATAATGTACATGCTCTAAGTGTAACATCCCGATTCGCATAACCCGGTTCACGCTTGGTTAGCGTACTAAAGCGCTAGCAATTTGGTAAAGTAACAGTCCATAATCTTTTAAAAATAATAGTAACAGTAATTTAAAAAGCATTTAAAACATAGTCTCCTCAAAACATGATTAAATAATTTTCAAGTAATTTAATTTAATCATTGCGGTAGCTAAGTAAGATTCAACATCATTACATATATGGGTTCAAGTCCCTAAATACTTTAATTTAAATTATTAAAAACAGTTCCCGCATCCTTCTGCCAACTCTCCCGCCTCAGCATCTTCCGGATGGACGCCATAGCTTATTACCTACGCACAGTCACACAACAAAGACAATTGTGTGCTCCGCGAAACCGCTGAGTGGTACCACAACGTAGATTTCATAGAATAATTCATAAAACATATTCACATGTGTATGGGAATCAATACCCTTTTTAAACCATTGTATTTAAGAAAATCCACTTTATTTCTTTTTTGTGAAACCTTTAATTATAAAATTCTGACATTCTTCATTTTACGACAAGGTGTAAGAGCATCTCTTCGTATAATAATATGTATCCAAAGTACTTATTAAAACAAATGGTATTATTTCCAAATACACTTTATTCATAGATTGATAACTCATTATTGTTCAATCATTTTATTGAGAGAGTATCTCTAATAGAAACAAATCCATATCTAAGAGTAAATCAACATCCTTCATTTAACCAATCGCTATACGATAACAGTGACATCCCTTTTTTTCAACCATTTATGTTTTATCCTCATGCTATACTGAGTCGTTCTCCGTAGAGGTAGACTCGATAAGACTTCCCCTATCTAAGTCTGGGTTCGAGAACCCTTCTATTCAGGTTCAGAATTTGTTTTGTAGCCTTTTCCAGTGTGGGTATAATTACTCTTCTGGTTCCGGGTGCATGGGTTGAGTGATCTCCGGGCGCCTGACCGGTTTTAGGACCTTATGTGTACATACTCAACTCCTAATATGGCCCACATCTATACACTCAAATCCATACTATTTATCACTAGAAATAATCTAGATTTAAACTATCCAAAAAAACCTTTTTGGTTACTAATGTCGCCATCATAATTATCACATTTACGGATTGGAGCATATCAAGTTTTACCATAAGGTCTCCAGCATAATATCATCCATATATAATATCCTTTTAATCATTAGACATCATTCAATCATGTTCATGCATTGGATCATGTTAGGACTCAAATTTAACCCACATAATATAGCACTGTAATTCTTCTAGTCCAACCCGTCCCATGATATCATTTGGTTAAAAGCACATCAGGGAAATATGATTTGACATAATCAACTTTGGTATTATAGTTTGTATAGTCCAAAACATTCATTTTTAGTGTTTTTGGAAGTTAAAATATGGTCATAAATCACTCAAACAAATACCAAAGATTTATCATCTATACAACATTGAAAACAGTTCAAATTTGAGTTGGGACGTCGGGTGATCGATCCTCGAAGGGGTGATCGATCCCCCGAATCAAGAAAAACTGTATTTTAACAAAATTTATTCCAAAGGATCAATCCAAGCATGTGGATCGATCCCCCGAACCTTAAAAATGGGATCTGGGGCTCTTTTCCATCGCCAGGTGATCGATCCCCTAACGATTCCTACATATTTTTGGGTCCGTTTTAAGCTACGGGATAGTTCCAAAAGTGTATATATTGATTATATATACTCTACTTTGAATATCTAAGTTGTGTAGGAACCTTATGAGGTCTTTTGGCACAATTTCAAGCATTCTCCGATATCGATGATTCAAGGATATCAAGTTGAGCGTTTTATCGAGACTATCGGTATGACTAACATAGAATGACATATAGGTATAGAAAAGAAATCATGTATTATGAATGATTCTAAGGAATCTAACGTAGAGACGAGTCTGGGGTACAGACCTTACAGCTCGTAGGGGAAACAATGATCCTACACCTCAGATACGTTCAACGAACGACCATCACTATCTACTTCTAGCTTCCCTTGCATTGAGGTCTTCTCCTCGAACCTTGATATTGCAGAGGAATATGGCGTGGAAAGAGCGTTAAAATGAGTATAATAACGATTGGAATGGGACATGACCACTTACCTAGTGATAGTTCTTCAAACCTTCATTAATGGTGGATGAAGGAGCTTGGGAAAAAGATGACCAATATATTCTAAGTGTGGGAATGAAGGAGTGAAGAAAAGGGGTCTATCTACCTTTATTCGAAAATAAGGGATTGAAAGAGAGAGGACATTGACACATTCTCTCAACCTCCAAGGAGCAAGAAACCAAGAGAGGAAGGAGGTTTGATGGTGGTGGATGTTGGAGGGTGTTCCAACATGGTGATGGAAAGGAGATGGTGGTGGGGAATGATGGGGAATCCTAGCAATAATTGGGGGAAATGAATGTGGGATTTGAGATTAAATCCCTGTTCCGGAAGTAATAGTTTATCTGTTTGAATTTCAGGTTATTTTTCAAACGGAGCCTGATTTTGAAACCGTTCACATTTTTGAACTTGGAAAAATAAATGGAACTCAAAGACATAATCAAAATATTTTTCCTAATATTTTTATTTTTCAAGCCGATGGGGCCCACATAGTCGAAATTGGCAATTTACGTAGTTAATTCTTCTAGACCGGTTTTCGTGGCGTTACACTAAGCATATGAAAATATAAATTTTCATACATTAATTTAATATATGAAGAAAAATTGTGTAAAACTCACATTGTTTATTTTTTCAATGTGCATATGTTGGATGTATATTAAAAACTATCTCTGCTCTAGAAAAATTCTCTATTTGAGCTTAATCAAATAAAATACAAAATTAGAAAAGTAAAAAAGCATTCTTGAGAAAAGTAAAAAAATGCCTCAAATGAAACAAGAGCAATTGTAACACCCCAACTCGCGTAACCCGAAATAAGGAGTTAACGAATCAGGTTGCTACTAAGTTGATATTCACAACGCAATAATTTAGACAAACTATTCAAAAATGTTCAAACGCCAAAATAAATACGAAAAGTTCAGAGTTAAGTCTATCAAGTGCGGAAGTCTCAAAATGACGTTCTACAATAACTGTTTAACCCAAATAATTAATTAACGCAACCATTTAAATGTCCATAATAAAAATGGTGACATCATCAACAGCGTCACGCGTCAACGTCCTCCAGGCTGGCCCTTTTGATCCCAAATCTCTACCTGCGTGCAGTCAAAGACAACAAGACTACACGCTCAACTGAAAGCTGAGTGAGAAAATATCTAACGCTAGAATTAATTTCACAGATATTATCACATTTATATAATCAGCAACATCAGTGAATAATCAACATTTATTTTCTGTTACAAGGACCCAACAGTTCCAACTAATTTATTCTTAGTGGGCTATTTCTGTCCCTACAACACTAAGGGTAAATTCAACAGACTAGAGTTACGGATACTCTTGCGGATCCCTCGAG